TATGGCCTAGCGCTTGGACAATACTGACATACTGGATTATACAATGTGGCAGAGATTATCATATTTACAGAAGAAAGAGAAGCACAATTTTGAGAAGCACAGATACACAGTCAATAAGTTGAACTACATAGTTGATAATGGTATGCTTTTAAATCTCTCATAATCTTTTAAGAACAGTGTTAAAAGGAATATAAACTCAATAACAAATTAAGGGATATTCAATTCTTATTTCAAATGGAATTCAGTACTTTATGACTGCCTATGAAAACATTCCTTTAGGGCTGGAGTTGTGGCTCAGTGGTACAGCACTTGCCTTGCAAGTGTGAGGCACTGGGTTTGATCCTAGCACTACATAAAACAAATAAAGGCATTGAGTCCGTATACAACTAAAATTTTTAAAAAACCCATGGTAGCACTACTATACATGATAGATTCAAAGAGAAAAGTAAAGCTATGGACAGGGAGTGGTTTCTATTGTATGAGGAAAAAGCCAGTTTTTTACTAAAGTATATTTATAAATAATAGCTATCACTATGCAGCTATTGTTTAGTTGATATCTGTGGCTTATTCAGTAAGACAAAACTGAATATCATTTAGGATCATAAACACAAACACCAATGACCTCAATTTTCCCCAAGATTTATACAGAAAAACATAGGTATTGGAAATATATAAGTAGGTTTTGTGGGCATGAAAGTCCAAAATCCAAAATGATTTTTAAAGAATGCTAATAGTTTCTTACCTACTGCATATTCAGCAAGCATTACTTATAGTACTGTCAGATTGTCCCCAAGGTTCTGTAAAATATAACAGGTACTTCTAGGGAACCATCACTAGAACTACAAGAACTCCCTAGAGGACTTTCTCATCAATAATAACACCTCCACCTGCAAAACCATGTCTTCAATGTAGTCCACACCTGCAGGCCACAATCTACACATAACACAAAACCTATTCCGAATCTGGACTAAAGTCATGCAATGCCTATTATCAGACTGAGGCAAAACTGGTGCTACTCTGGTTTTAAAGTATGCATCCCTCCAAAATGTCTATGTTGGAACTTATGCCCCAATGTGACAGCATTAAGAAGTGGAAGCTTTCAGAGGTGATTAAATCACAAAGGCAGAGCACTCATGAATGGGATTAGTGACCTTAGAAAAGACCTAGAAGGAAGTAGCTCAGCCTTTCAGGTTCTCCAGCCTGCCCTCCCTGTCAAAGCTGCTGTCTTGGAAGCAGAACCAGGTCCTTACCAGAAATCAAACCTGCCAGTACCTTGACTTGGACTTCCCAGACTCGAGAAATAAATTTCTGTTCTTTATAAATTACCTGATCTCTAGGATTGCTGTATGTATACACATGGATGTATAACCAATGTGACCCTGCAATCTGTACAGGTGGAAAAGTGAGAATTCATACCCTATTTGAATCAAATGTATGATATGTCAAGATCATTGTACTGTCTTGAGCAATTAATTAATTAATTAATTAATTAATTACCTGATCTCAGATATTTTGTTATAGCAGAGGAAATGGTCCAAGGCAGACACCTATTGTTACATTTTAAACACAGTGCAGGTCAAATGAAATGTAGCATTTAAAGACCTTAACACATTGAAAATTCTTGTGATACTTTAATGAAGACAGAATCCTAAGTCCTAAATCAGAATGGTATAATGAAAGTAGTAGCCTGAGAATCATGATCTAAGGCAAAATGTGTAGCATTCTTGATTTCCTCCAAGTAGAATGGATTGCCCTTTTAATTGGATCAAATAATAAAGCAAACTTTGAACATTTCTTTTTGTGTCAAAAAACAAATTATAGATAGCTTTCACAGTACTTGACATATGGTAATCATGCAATAAATGTTAATTATAAGCATATATCTCATACTGTGGCTCCTTTTAAGTTTTTTTATATAAATAACATTTTATATTTACATAGGAATTTGAAGTTCACAAAATGCTTCATTATTATTATCTCTTTGATTCTTATATGAACCTTGTGAAGTAGATGGGACTTATTATACTGGTCTTGGTTTACACAGAAAGCAACTAAGCTGAAAGTCTGGTGATACTGATCATACATCTACAGTGCAAAATCCAAGATCAGTAACTTTTAACTCAGCACTAAATGTAACTCCTATCTGTGTTTCATCTTAGTACAAAACAACTGAGTTAACTTGATCATTGTATTGGTGTTACCTTATTCATGAATTAGAGGGTCTTATTTTCTTCTCAAGGTGTATTAACTTGAACATCACATGGTATTCGAATTCCTGTGGGAATAATAATCTCTGAAAAATAGTGTTTGGGAAGTACTGAAGGACCTTTTCATCTATCTAACACAACTTTCCTCCATTTTTCCTCTGAATCATTTCCATTTACAATGATAGCAACAAGAGTACATTGATTTTAATGCATCAGGTTAACAAGTTTTTATTTAAATTCATCAACACAGACTCTTAGAAATGTCAGTCATTAATCTATTGCCAGGTATCAACTGGTGAAATATATATCCCAAATTTTCCTCCTTCAGAAAAGATTAGAAAGGCATATAAGGCCTACCAAAGAGGAAAATCAACAGCACAGTTCAGTTAACTGTGAAATATACTGTCCTTGGGATCTAATAATTATTGAGCAAAACATAAACTCAAATAAGCTGCTTGCAATTGCCTACAACAATGTCCAGAACCACAGCTGTGAGCTATCCTCGGCAGATGCAGGGTGAGACCTTCTCTGTGCTAAACATCTGCCCTGCTGTTGGAGAAAAAATAAACTTCTGGCAGCTATAAAGTCACTCAGGCTTATCTCCCATGTCACAGAGCAACAAGGGGCAAACAAAAACCTTATGCAATTAATGAGACTTGACAATCCATCCTTGATGGCAAATTAATATACTTCGTAGTTTCATTTCCTTCTGATTGCAAGATGCTAACCATATGCCACGGTCTAAATTCTAGACTGACAGCCTAATAGTATATCTTACCCAGCCACAGTTTCTATGCATTGTTTCCTTGGAGAGCTGCACACTTAGAGAATGCATAATTAGACTTTGGTAGTTGATACTTCAACGATTAAACAGATTAAATAGGGTCCTGCATGGGACAATAATACCTGCATTTAAGGAGCTGATAATGATTATTAATACAATTATGTGCACCTGCAGTCAATAAGGAAAAATCTAAGCAAAACTGTACATTCAAATAATCATCATATATAAATGATGGATGAATGAGCTCCAGGGATAGTCTCCTGATCACTGTAGAATTTGTTGCATTTGCTTACTTTAAGAAAAGGATATGGGGCAACTCCCCCATCATTAACTTAACAGGTGAGTGAAAAAGAAACCTAATTCTATAATATGTTCTAGATACTTTGTCAAAACACAGGTAGCACTTTCTAGGTAAATACCAGCTAGGTGACAACCCTACTTAGATTGCATAAGTATGTACAATTGAGGGTTACATTGAGCTCTGCTGTGTGACAGATTTCACATATAGAAACTTATACTGTTTTTTTGTTTCCTTGAGAAGAGAATAAAATATCCATTATCCTGAAAATTTAAAAAGCAGATTGGTTTACGCTAAACAAATTTTATCCAAAAATGATATTTCAACTAGGAAATATTCAACTAGACTATTTAAAAGTAAAATTGCATAAATGTGGAATTTATAAAATCTGCTAAATAAGATGCAATAAAATACAAAGTCCATTGTGACCCAATATAACATAGGTATTTTTCTTAAATTTGAAAATTGGTTTTTATACTAATGATAATTGTGAAAACTAACCATTAAGTTCCTTTTCCTAAAAAAAAAGTTATTTCACTTAAAATAACTAAGTATATTTATAGAATATCAAATATATAATAACTAGTATTTCACAAAATATTTAAATTATTAGTATTATAAAAAATAACAATTTGAATTATACACTTCATCTGGACAATGAAAAGTGAGGCCGATCATACTTAGAAACACACCAGAAAACCCAGAGAATGGTGTCATTCTAATACCATGGTGCATTTGTCAGTGCTACCATTACAAAAGTAATTATGGA